AAAAAAAACAACAAACCTCTTGCAGCTATCTCCCTTGCATTCAGCTAAACTAACAGCAGCCAAAAGCTCCTAATCCCGGACACCTGAGCCTTCCTCACAACGTTAACGTTGCTGGATTTCGTGCTCATATCTGCCATATATGATTTTTTTATTTATTTATTATGAAACGTCTCTCCTCTGCAGCCTGCCCATAAGTAAGGCAGGGCAGGCTGAGCCTTCCTGCAGGCAGAGCGCCTCTGCGCCGGCTGCTCGCCGGCACCCCCGGTCACGCACGCCAAAAGACTTCGTTTTTCAGCGGACCCTTTCGGGCGATACTGCACCAAGGCGTCCCTTTGGAAGAGGGTTGACCCCGTGGTGACCAGCAAAGGTCCCCCCTGCCCTCGGGCGGCTGAAGCGAGGTCCCTTCCCGCGGAAGCGCAGCGCCGTCGGCCCGTCTCTTTCGGAGAGAAGTTCGAGCTGTAAATAAAAATGCGCTGGTAGAGTGGCAGAGTAATAAAAGGTTTGATATGAAATAGTGCATCAGCGCGTGTTTGCTCATAAATTAGCGAAGCTTCAGGGAAAAAAACATCTCGGTCTCCGTGAGCGCGGGAAGCAGGCTGCAGCGCCCCGTCGCCCTCGGCTTCAGAGCCCCAAAGCTGGACAGTCAGATGGCGGCACCACGGGACGGGACGGGACGCGACCGCCGAGCCTCACGGTTCCCCAGCCTTTCCTCTAACGCTGCCTGTCCGAGCGCGCCCCCTGCTAGGGCTCGGTTTGCTTCGGGGGGGAAGGCCTTTAGGCACCCAGCGTGACTTCATGGGGTTAAACGTTGCGTTGCTGAAATAACAACTGCAGGTCAGCGGTGAAAAGCGCCCCTGCTCAGTTTGGGAAAGATGGTTAATCTAATTTGTTTTTGCAAGCAAGTTGGTGTATAACGGCTCCTCGGACGCTGCAGAGCGCGTGCTTGGCAGGAACCCCCCGCAGCTCGGCTGCTCTCTCCAGCTCCTCACGCTGCCAGCGCCATTAGGTGAGATGCTCAGTGCGTTTCCAAAGCTGAACAACGGCTTTAACGGCTTCGTACAAAACTTGCCGAAGAGAGAAAGCAAACCCCTCTCCTGTTGTCGCGGCCCTGGGGCCGGGCCCTGGCTCCGCTCCGTCGGTGCGCTGGGTCGCCGGCAGGCGGCCGCC